TCCCTGTGGCTCCTGGATGTAATCTGGGTTTTAAGTGAGTAGGCAGGCCAGTTATAGGGCTTCTTTAGTTTTCCTGATTGAAAAAAAAAAAAAAAAACTGGAGTGATTGATCAAGCAATCTATAGCAAATGACCAGAGAATGGGTGGTTAGAAACTGGTATGTTTGAATCCATTTGGGTAATCACCAGATTAATGACATTATCATGCATGTAATAAGTGATGGAATGTGGCTTCTCTACTCTACTCTTTGGATTACTGATATTTGCAGGTGGCATAATTCCTGATGCTTTTATCATTTAGCAAATGTGACCACTCTGTGATTGAAGAACGGTATTGTCACAGTGTAACTCTGAACTTGTAAGGACGATTTCAAACCTGTCCTAGAACCTGAAATCATTCATTATGTTCATAAATCAGTCATTCCGTACGAATTTATTTTGCTCATGTTTAACTATTGTGGAAAAAATGGTAAAAAAAGATAGACATGATCTCTGCCCTCATGGTTTAGAAGGAAGGACAAAGATAAAATTAATATCAAGTATGAGGAGTAGTATGAAAGAATTATAACCAAAAAATGTCTTGGGACAGCATAAAACATGGAGATCAAACCTAGTTTAGAGGGTCAAGAAAGTCCAAGTGGAGGAAAAAAAAAAATTAAGCTGAGACTGTGTTATCCAGGGTCAAATGGAATGGAGAGGGGTAGATTTTTGCTATAGAAAAGATGAAATATTGGGGCCACAATTTATACAGAGTCTGGCTTAGTAAAAGGAATTCAATAGCTAGAAAAATGTGAACAATGATGTTTTGGTAGACAAGGGCTAAGTGAAGTGTAGCCTTATAATTCATGTTACTGGTTTTGTATGCTTTTCTCAGGACAATGGGTAAATGAAGAGACTTAAAGCAGAGCAATGATGCAACTCATAATTTAAATTGTAAGCCAGATGTCATATCATGGTTTCTTGCTCTTGAAGATTTTGTTTGGCTTGGCCTGAGTTCCAATTCCTCCATCTGTGATGGAATTCAAATCCTTCCCCACAGTTTCTGCGAATTTCAAAAGCTTACTATTTTATGCTTCTTTCTGATTCTATGCTCCAGGCTTCTTGAGGATTGTATCTGCTTCTCCCTGACACAGTGCGAGGATTTACAATTCAACCCCTGAATCTATTCTATAAGCAATCTACACAGTTAAGTATTTCATGGTTCTAGTGGGCTTTCCCATGGCTTTTGGAGGTTACTGAGAAGAGACTCATCTTAAAATAAATTCCCTTTGCCATATCCTTGTTTAATTTCATTTTCTCATCTTTCTTCTTTCAAGGAGCCATAAACAATGTTTTCCCATGTCTTATTTAGAACCATTTCACTTATAATAATAACTCTTAAGGTCTTATCTTCTATAATCAAACACCTATTGATATATTTTTCTAAACAGTACTGTTCTCTACCTAAATGAGTTTTGGTGATGGCTATTTACATAGACTCTATTTTTTTATGCTGTAATAAAACTAACTCTCTAACCTCTATTTATAGCAGTTACAGCTTATTAGAAGTCAATGGAATTATTCACAAAGATAATCTAATATAATTCTTTTATATAAGAGATGGAGACATTTAAGCTCAAAGAGGTCAAGTTACTCACCATATTGATAACAGCAGAGACAAAGATTTAGACATTTCCATTAATTCTGTTAGGATGGTGGCCCTTATTAGTATGTGTCTTATATCTCAGGAGAACACGTGTAGGCTCCAAGTTCTCTCCATAAATTTATCTTTGCCTCTAATGCCAAGTTACCTGTGTGTCCTGGTCAAAATATTTCATCCATCCAAGGGAATGGTAAAGAGTAGTTTTTATTACACCAACTGTGTTGCAGAATCACGTCTATTCCTTCACATACTGATTCTCTGCCATCATAAGGTTGTTTCCCATAACACTGTTGCAATGCACCATTGTGTCCTCTTGAGGCTGTAACCAAGTACAGAAATAACAAGATTAAGATTCAAAGCTAAAGACCTCGGTGGAGCAACCCTGAAGCTACAGGTAAAAAATAAGTGAAATTACGTATGAAGAGATGTTATAAAAATCATCCATATGAAGGACAATTTCAATGGGCTGAGAGTAAATGTGTAAAAGGGACAGTTATGAGGCAAAGATACCGCCTTCTGTATGGCTTGTCAAGATTTTATTTCCTGGAAAACAGTTCTATGCCGCAAGTAAATCTTAGAAATATAGAAGTAAAATAAACTGTTTTATTTGGGAAATATAACAAGTATAAAGTAGGTAGCTGTCAGTGGGACACAGAATCACAGTGATAATAGCAGTGTCACCCTCTTTCGTAAACAAAGAGAACAAGAAAAAGATTGCTTATTTATTATAGTGTAGATCAGCATATGCATAGAGCGATCAAAATGCCCAACCTTTAAGTAATCCTTGACTGGATCCTTCACTTTCCTGTCTCCTCTTGGTTCTGTGCTCCAGGCTGGTATTTTCCTCTAGTTTCAAGATTAAATTGTTCCTACTAAATGAACGATTCTTATATCTACATTCTACATCGATGGTTTCATTTTTATCATTTTCCAATAAGTGTATTTTTAACCACCTTTTGGAAATTTTGAGGTGGATGTACAATTATCAATTTCAACATGGTTAAAACGCCCGCTATCATTTTCTCCAATTTTTCTCTTAAATGCTTTTCTAACTTGACTCTTACCATTCCAGCTTTTGTGCTGTCATCCTATTAACCTTCCATAAAAATAAATTCTATCATGACTCTACCATTAGGAAGAGACTGCACCACCTGACCCCAGCTATTGAAAAAAACCTTGTAATAAAGAATTTCTCTAGGGTCTGTATTGAAAAATTCCACCTGATACCCATTTGCCTGATAAATATGAGAGCATAGTCATTATTTCATCTTATCAAGTGAGATCATCAATGCAAAAGATGTCTCTAAATTCTAAAGAAAGGCTGGACCATATTTTATATATTGCATTATTATTTTTTTATCTTATCATTAAGTTTGTTGAACCCACATAAAATGCTGCCAAGGCGAAACAGCAAAATTGCAAATATTCCACATTAAACTATTGCTATAGGTAATATCTATGGCAATAGGTAAATTTAGTTTCTTCTATTTGCTTTGTTTCCTGAATTATTCATTTTTGCTCTTTTACAAACAATCCCATGTTCTATTTTAAGGATTATAATGCATAACATAAGTACATAACTTTTTCTCTGCTTACATTTATTACATATTAAATTGCCCTAGAGAAAAAAATTAATATTTAATGAGTAACAAATTTATTGAGCTTTTCCCCAAACAGAAGACTTCCATAGTAGCTGTCCTCAAATGCTAGTCTTCAATTTTTCATTGATCCTTTATAGTCAAGGAAACTTACCCAAATGTAATTGTAGAAATACAGATTTTTTTTAAAATTGGAGAATTATCAAGACCATTGACTCCAATGTCTACATGACCTGAATACCAGTTAAAAAGTGAATTGAGGAATAATTAGCATACAATGTACTTAGACGCTTCTGATTTTTTTTCTCTATTTAATGAAAAACATTTCGCACAAAATCTTTAACCACTCTATGGTCCTTGGATATACATCAAACTCTATACAGACTGGGTTTGAGTCCCAAGTTCCACCACTTAGTAGATGTATGACTTTGTGCCAATCACTTAACGTCTCTATTTTTATTTCTCATATGTAAAAAATGAGAATAGTAAGAAGGTTGTAAAGAAAATTACACTGAATAACGTATAAGAGACAACACTAAAAGACTTTGTCTAGTGTCTGGCACATAATGAGTGTTCACTATCTATTATAAAGAAAATACTTAAAGACTTAAGAACATGTTAAAAAAGAAACTCTCTAATTTCATTCATATCACAGAATGTCGTAATTGTTCCTTTCATTAACTAGTATAAAGAATAGAAGATCCATGTACTCAGCACATTTTTTAATGAGTCTGCATAGGTTGTTTTAATCAATTGTAAGTGTTTTTGGATTCCTCCTTTACCCAATTCCTGGTATCCAATATGGAGATTTTAGGCCTTCAGTCTCCTTTGTATATTTCCTTTTGCGAAGGAGAATATATCCGAGTCATGATAATAGGAACATTAAGATAATAAGTTCTTATACCCAGATTGATACAAAAAGAGTATCATAAAATTAGCTGTATTTAATAAAGTGCAAAATCATTAATATATCATCTGTTTTTAAGCCTTACTGGAACATGTAAAATTATCATAATCAATAATGATAAGATAAATCTTAATTCTGAGAAATTATAGAATCTGAAGCTTTTTCCTAAAGTTGAACAATGTGTCTTTGACTGTGTTTTAAATTATGGAGCAGATTATTCACCAATATTATAAATCCTAAAGCAATGCAATATTGATTGCCCTTGAGAAGCCAATACAAACAGGGACTAAAAAAAAATTAATCAAGTCTACAATTAAACTGTTTTTAGCCCATTAGTTATTCTCTAGTAAGCATTTCATCAGGAAATAGCATTTTATGTTTATATCAAATTTCTGTCCTGCTGAGGCACAAAGAAGACACAGTAAAATTGTTTTGATGGGCACTTACGTGTCCTTCCTTAAAAATTAAAAGAAAAAAATTAAAAGGAAAAAAAATAACGTGATGCTACTATTGGATAGTTTCAGATAAACCACCCCTTTGCCTTTAATAAAATGGGAGAACTTAGCAGGATTCTTAGTTATTACCCTGAAAATGTGTAGTTCACTGTTCAAACGGTGCCAAGGAGAGGAGGTGACATCACTTCTTATAGGTCCAGCGCACTGCGTCATTCACACGCTTCCTGAGAAGAGCAAGTTGCCCTAGATATTTCTAAACAATGGTGGCTTCACTACTTACACTTGCTCAAGTTGAGTAAAAACCCAAAGACTTTATCTAGTTTTTCTGCTGAATATCTTAATCGTATTAGGATGAAGGAGGTTTGCTTTCGAGGCTGATTTCTTTTTCCTTCTAAAAGCATGACATCTGAACAGATGGGATCGCAGATTCGGCTTAGTGAGAACTGAAGTTGTTTCATATACTTTCTTCTTTTTCTTTTCCTTTTTTTATTCTTTTTGTCTTCAGAAACAAAACGAGCAGCATTAATGCAGCCTGAGTCTGTACAGGACCAGTATTGTCCATCACAGCTCAACGATGGAGTGCTAACTGCAGCTGTACATTCAGTAACTTGGTTTTTGTTGTATTTTTTTTAGGAGGCAATTAACAGGCATTCTTTTTTGGGTTAGAGCTTCTATCCCTTTTTATTTGCACATGCTTTTTCAACAAAAACACTTAATTTGCTAAAAGCTGGCATCAGTAATAAGAAGGATACTTTAATAAACTATTTTGGAATTATCCTTGAATTAATTCTCAGTTATCGTTTACTTCCTTAAGAAGGGAGAAACAAAAGATTATATGTCGTTAAGTTTATGATTATATTTATTGGCAGCTATTTGTAAACTTCTGTCTTGCTATTGACTAGTGGGTTGTAAAAGATTTCTGTTATTTCTCTCCTTGCTGGGTAAATCATTATAATTAAGTCTCAGAATATCTCTTGTATTAGGTATGATATAACTTAGAATCTCCTGGGTTCTCATTTACCAAAAATGTATTTTATATGCTTATACTTTGAGAGTCTTTCTCAGTATATCTCAAGATTGTTAGGGTATTAATTAGAGATTTAAAAAATGTTCCATGTTACCTCACACAGCACTTTGCTGAGCATTGATCATGTATTCACTCATCAGGCAATAAAATTTTTTTCATCATAGAATTTCAGAGCCCAAAGGAAATACAGAGCTGATATAGACCTACCCCCTTGGCTTTGAGATGAGATAGCACTTTCCCAGGTAAGTTCAGTGATGGGCAGCAGATCGCACACAGGCCCAGTGACAAAGCCCAGATGAGATTCCTGAGTGCCAGTGCAATGTTTTCTGAGATCACACAAGCGTTTTCAGTGGGCTTGATCTTGTTGTTGCTTTCCCCCACGATACGCAGTTACACTCATTCATTGTTTCACACTCTAGTTCTGTTAATCATATAAACTACAATTCATCCATTGCATGAGAGCAGAATAAAGCCATTTATACAGGCCAAGGTTGAAGCACTCTTTGGACAATGGTTTTTATTGTGTTTTGTGAATAAAGACATTAAAACTTTCAGATACTGTGAGCTAAGAGCTCATGTGTATCTATCAAAGCCAGAAACTATGCTTCTCAAAAAATATGAAATTCTTGAAAATACTATAACATTATTTTTTTAGTGTTTATTTATTTTTGAAAGAGGGAGAGAGAGCAGGGGACGGGTGGAGAGAGAGAGATAGAGAGAGAAAGAGGGAGAGAGAATCTCAAGCAGAATCTGCACTGAGAGAGCAGAGCCGACTCAGGGATCTATCTCACCAACAGTGAGTTCATGACCTGAGCTGAAATAGTCAGATGCTTACCCGACTAAGCCGCCTAGGCGACCCTGTGAAGTTCTTGAAAATATTTTATGTCAATTGATTTGGTTTTTCTTTTTACTTACTTTCTGGTTGTCCTTAGTTCTTTATCGTTTTAATCACTTATCTAGACTTTTTAATGTAATTCTGTATTTCCTTCACATGACAGTTGAGAAAAACAAATGTGAGTTAACCTTAATGAGATTTATATTAATTCTGGAAGCTGCTTCCAGAGTTGTCACTGACTCCAACGTTTTGGTAAAAAGATTTTTATTTTTAAATCGTACCTCTTTGAAAACAGCACGTACTTTCTTGTAACTATAAAAATGTTGCAATGGGCAGAACCACCCTACTAGGTAGTAAATGGATTTTTAAGTCTGGGATACTTAAAGTGAAACACTGAATTCCAAAGAATCCTTATGTATTTGCACCACCACTTTATCAAGATGTGTTTAGCAAACATTATCACTTATCCATATAGAAATAGATATCTATCTATATAGATCTCTCACTCTCTCTGAAATTTATATATACAAACATACACATAACATATATTGGTATTATCATATATTATGAATGCCTATATACAAATACGTACATATATAAATGTATAATTTATAAATATATATCTACATATATATAACGATATATATACACATATATGTATACATATACATATATATGTAGGTGTATATATATATACATATATATGTATATATATATATACACCACTTCTGTTCATTCTTCAAAATCCCATCTGCATGTTACCTTTAAGAAGAATGTTGTCTACCCCCTCTCCAAAGCCACTTCACTTGTCTTTGCTGTACCCCGACAGCAAGATGCTCAATTATAATTACCCAGTTACTTTTCTGGAATTTTATCTGGCCTGTGAACTTTTCAGTGACGGACCTCCATCATATTTCTATTGTTTATCATATTCCTGGAAGACACTTAATAGCTTTTTTTGCTGATATTAAAATAATGAGAAATGCAAATTAATTAATAAATCAACATTGTAGTACTTATGTAATTAAATAGAAAATTCATGAACTTCAAATAGAAGGAGGAAGGGGCGCCTGGGTGGCTCAGTCCGTTAAGCATCCGACCTCGGCTCAGGTCATGATCTCGCGGTCCGTGAGTTCGAGCCCCGCGTAGGGCTCTGTGCTGACAGCCCAGGGCCTGGAGCCTGTTTCAGATTCTGTGTCTCCCATTCTTTCTGACCCTCCCCCATTCATGCTGTCTCTCCCTGTCTCAAAAATAAAATAAACGTTAAAAAAAATTTAAAAAAAAAAACAAATAGAAGGAGGAAGAAACACCTGTACAGGTGGTAAGTGGTGGCATAAAACCTGAATCTAAAAATGTACAGGTTTATTGAGGCACCTGAGTGGCTCAGTTGGTTAAGCGTAGGACTCTTGGTTTTGGCTCAGGTCGTGATTTTGTGGCTTCGTGGGTCTGAGTCCCGCATTGGGCTCTGTGCTGGCAGCATAAAGCCTGTTTAGAATTCTCTCTCTCTCCCTCTCTCTCTGTCCTTGCCCCACTCATGCTATGTCTCTCTCAAAATAAATAAATAAACTTAAAAAAATAATAAAAAAATTAAAATGTATAGGTTTGTAAAAATCATCAGATTTCCAAAATTACATTTTAATTCAAATACTTTTGCATTAGAATATGACTTATCAGTTTAGGAACATCTTATATTACTCTTGGTCCTCAATCACATTTACAGTCACTTATTTTGTAAGTCATATCCATAAATAAGACAAAATTATTAATCCTTAAATCCCGTCAGACCCATGGTTTTCCTAAAAAATAATCCTCCTCTATTCTGTCCTGTTATTTAAAATGTTAGTATTAAAATAAGCCAATGTGTTTATAACTTAATTATCTGATATTTCAATCTCCTCATTAATTAAAAGAAATGACATTTCATGTTTGAAGCTGGTGGTACTCAAACTAGTTGAAAAGACAGAGGCTGGAGTTTGTGGAAGTCAAGAGAGCTCAAATTTGCAGTGTGAAATATCTAAGAGGAAAGAAGAGAAAGAGAGAGAGAGAGCTCTAGAAATCTGCAAAGAGGTTTCCCTGAGTGTTTGGCTGAATAGCAATTCTATACATGCATAGGGAGAAACACCATGAGGCCAGTCAAGCACAACTTCTGACAAAGAAAAACTACTGTGGGACTATAGAAAACTCCTAGAACACACATACAGTTGGGTATTGTTTTACTTTTCACCTTATTAATACATGGGCATTCAGTAACTATCCTAAAAGGGCCAGGTTTTACACAAAAGGTTGATTCAACCCAAGAATAAGGGCCATTCTAGATCTAGCCTAAAATATCATAAAAGAAAGGATCCAAACATCATGTTAATCTGCAAGCAATTTTAGTGCTTGCCAGAAAAAGTTAATCACTTAAAAGAATGTCAAAATAACACAGCACTCAACATAAATGCATAATGCCTGTAATCCAATAAAAAAAAAGTACTAGATACCAAAGAAACAAAAAAATGCAAATCAAATTCCAAATGTAAGTTTTTAAGCTTCTTCAATTTCAATCAGTCAAAAGTTCCGGGAGTTCAGGGGTGCCTGGGAATTCATGGCTGGCTCATGCCTGGAAAAGCTTGTGACTTTTGATCTCAGGGTTGTGAGTTTGAGCTCACGTTGGGTCTAGAGATTACTTAAATAAATAAACTTTTTTATTTTTTTATTTTTTTTTTAATTTTTTTTTCAACGTTTTTTATTTATTTTTGGGACAGAGAGAGACAGAGCATGAACGGGGGAGGGGCAGAGAGAGAGGGAGACACAGATCAGAAGCAGGCTCCAGGCTCTGAGCCATCAGCCCAGAGCCCGACGCGGGGCTGGAACTGAGGGTCCGCGAGATCGTGACCTGGCTGAAGTCCGACGCTTAACCGACTGTGCCACCCAGGCGCCCCTAAATAAATAAACTTTTAAGAAAGTGGGAATTCAATTATTAAATGAATTGCTATAATTCTATTTACACTAGAATATATATAAATACCATATATTGTGGACCCTTTCATATAAAAGCAAGCAATGTATTTACAGCATATCATGACCTACCAAGAGATTTTCAAATTTTTTTACCTCAATAAATAAAATTATTTGCAAAAAGTTGTGTGGTCACGATTATTATTTGCTAAAATTCATTCTTTGGGGCAACTCAGAAAAGTAATAATACATGAAGTGTAATAACTGGGATTTCAATTACTGCCCCAAAATATATTTGTTATCCCATTATGTTACCTCAAGTATGTGTACAATTATTAAGAATTACATGATGTTCTGTTAAATAAATACTCCTGACTATTAATGACATATTAGCCTGTCTCCTAAACATCTCTCTCCTATAACTGTTAGTGATATTTCTCACCGTGAATGATCTGCCCTAAAATAACTTAAAAAGACTTAAGGATCATTGTACAAAAGCTGATAGTATATTATATATTTTTAGATGTTTCTTATGGCAATATCTAAAGGGATTTGTAAAATTACAAAGAAAAATAATTGATAACATTACTATGAGATCACTGTATTATACACGAATGGTATATATTGTAAAGCAATTATTTAGGAAGAAAAGAAAGCTAACACAGATTATTTATAATGTGCCTGGTTTTTCCTCTACATCACTAGCTGATTCTTCTCAGTTACCTTTATTGTTTTGTTTCTTCTTTTTTTTTTAATCTATCTTCTTTTTTATTTATCTATCCTTTGAGAGAGAGAGAGCGA